AGCACAGGAAAATCTGGAGTTTGTTCATAGGCACCAACCAGCATCCAACAAAAACAATTATCCGTTTGGGTTAAGGGTTGGAAAACTCGAAAAAGAAAGCTGAAATCAAACACACAAATAAGAGCGCATTAGCATGTACTTTTGGATAGACTGTCACTGGGTATCTTTTACTGGCTTTGATTGGACTTGCTTCATCCCGTTAACTGTTTGCCTACAAAGTTGATTCACATTGGCTAACGGACAAATGTGTGGTAGGTCTACCTGTCTTGACAAACCGTCATGGCTCAAATTGCTGCATTTGCAGCAAAACATATCTCACTAGCTTCTTCGTCCAGGACTTGGTAGTTTTTGAACTTCGACAGAGTCGCAGGGACATACAATTGAAGGTAAGATCGAAAGTCCTCTGTTTACTTGCTGTGCATTTTCGCTGCTCTACTCCTTTTATCGAACTTGTTATTATCTTCATATGTTTATTAATATGCGCGGTAAAAGTGTGCTGACCCCGAAAAAGGCAATCAGTAGAAATGCTTCGAGTACATTCTCGCCGCGGTCACTGACCACCTCATTGTCAGCGGTTACTAGGGCTGGAGCTACGAGAGGACAAAACGTGACAAAGAAAGCAACTGAGGATACAAACGCACCACCTAGGTCCACCTCACCCGAACGGTCACAATCACGGCTTGCAGCGCAGCCAGTCCTCCCGGCACTATAAACGCCACTATACCTAGTCAAGTAAACCCAGAGCCCCATGCTACTCCCTGCACCCACCTTGACCCCCCAGTGAGAACCACTAAGCGGAAACGTCGAAGAGTAGGGCAGAAGCGTTTGGGAAAACCACACGGACATGACGACAACTGCCACACATATGCTCTCACTGTTACCAAAAGTGATGCAGCCTTTGAGCGCAACAGCTGCAACAAATGGGTGCACTGCCGATGTGACAAATAAGTGCCACATAAGCACTATAGCTTTATGGCGCGCCACCCACGCGCGTGGTTTTTGCACATTTGCCCACAGTGCCCTCTGAGACAGCACCTAGCTTCAGGCTTACTTAGAGGAACCGATAAATCTCCAGTGACCAAAAAGCAGGTACCAGTCTAAACCACTACCATAGAGGATATTCACTCTCCAGAGGATTTCGACAATGGCCTACTGAAGTTCAAGAACCTAAGAGGTTCTTAGTCGAACAAAACACTGCCTGCACCATCTGCAACTGCATCCACCTCAGGCCTTGGAGCCGCACCAGAGACAGAACCCAGTGGACAACATAAGGGGTGGGTGAGGGTAGAGAAGAAAACCCGAAGCATCCCTGAAAAAGCACCTATGGGGTGGGATAACAATGGCATCACTGACCGATCTAGCTCCGTCATTCTGTTTAACGTTCCCGTCTGTGATGATAGCCTCCTGGAGCACAGGGACAAGTTTGACAGGCAACAGCGGAACTCCCTTTGTGCCTTGCCAGGTCTGAGCGCTCTTGGGGCAAAACTGTGTTGACTGTACAAAGGCACCCACTCACCGGCAGGGAGGCCTCCGCCGACGAGAGTGACCCCAGGCTGAACTGGAGACGCTGAAAAGTTCCTCTTACTGTCACACGCCCTCGTCATCAACAGGTCGCCCAACATTAGGGCTAGACCTGACCGATCATGGCTATCAAGAACGACGTCTGGGGAAGCAGCTGGTCCACTAAAACCCACAACCATGGTCGTACATAGAATGCCTGAAATGGTGACCGGTACTCTAGGCGATAAGTGCAACCATGACGTCAAACAATGAGGGTGGCTATCGGCTGGGATGGAGCTATGTGTGGTTGCATCTGCGACGATTAGCAGACTGCCATGCCCCTCGCATCTGACAACCACGACCTCATTTAGACTAATGGCCGTCAACTTCGAATCCTCAGAAGTACTCACCAGAGTGCCAGGGACGTGGCACGAAGTCAAGAGCGCCATAAGCGGTAACGTTCGCTGCTATGAAAGCAGACCGAGAACACTGAGACGACAATAGACAGCAGTTACTCACTGTGCTCAGGCCACCGTAATCCTAAACCGAAAAGTTGAGGGCCAGACCGCCAACCTCCACCCAACACTGAGTGCACCAGCCAACCCTCACATACAGACCTATGCCACTAGTTAACCCAGAGACATCTCACGTTGCGAGAAGCACCTCCAAGTGTCCCACAGTAATGTGAGAGACTCCGAAGTAAAATGTCGCAGCCCCGATCCCTCTGTCTCGACCTCGTCCCGAAAATCATGATCCTCACAGGAACATGGTTGTCACCAGACATAAGTGACATCGAATTTAACATGGACGACATGGTTCTGTTCAGGAGAGAAAGAGAACAAAGGGATGGAGGGGGTTGCGATATACGTTAACGGTTGGTTCAGTATTGACAGAGCTCCAAGACTCTACCTGGTATCACTTCATGGTCAAACACACCAAATTCTTAGTTGCAGTGATCTATAGGCCCCCTAATAGCAACTTGGAACACAACCAAAAACTACTCCGAGTAATATCCACGGTGTCAACTATAGGGTATGACCAGATTCTAATACCTGGTGACTTCAACACTCCAGCACTCAGCATAGAAGAAGGTGACACGACCCCGAGCTGGAAATTCGATTTTAGCCCACAAAGTGCCATCCAAATGACTGGGCTGCGGGAAAAAAATCAGCAACAACACCCACTGACGGTCGGATGGTAAACCATCTAAGCTGGATTACCTGATTACTAGTGATCACCTTCTGGTTGAAAACGCTCAGTTGCAAACTCATCTTGGAAATAGTGATCACGCTAAGGTAGTGTTCGACCTGGTAATCAGTGAAAAATTATCACGGGAGGGACCTCACCCTCACCTCTGTTACAACAAGGCAAACTACGAAGGTATGAACAAAAGCCTGTCAAGAGCTCTGTGGCCAGTGGATTCGTGTTCCTTATCAGTCGACCAGCACTGGGAGCTAGTAAAAGATATCATTAAGGCGGCCATCCTGCAAAACATCCCTTTGGCAGTAACGACAGCCAGAAAGCGAACCTCATGGCCAAAACGGGGCACCGAGCACCTCCTAAAAGCCAAGAGAAGGGCACGCCACACACGGAGACTCTCCAGAGAACAGGACGACAATGACGCACACATGACTCTACGAAATTGAAGCAACGTCAGGGTGCGGGGAGACAGGAGGTCGTTTCAGTCCAACTTCACCAAGAGACTTGAGATAAACCCCAAAAACCTGCTTCGAGAAAATCGACAAACCAAGGAGTATGCATCGTAAAAGTTCTGAAGGGAGAAAACCTCTCTGGACAGGAGATCACCGAAATGTTGAGCACCACATTTGACACAAAGCTCAATATTCCATCAGGAAAGTACGCACACCAACTGCACGAGCAGCCCCCAATGTTACCTGATGCTGCGGATTTGTACGAAGTACAGATAACTCACGCTGCTGCTCTCGGCAAGCTATCAAGGCTAAGCGCGGGAAAATCCCCAGGGTGCGACGACATCCGCTAATTTATGTTGAAGGATTTGCAAGTACATTAAGTGACCCACTCTGCAATCTCTTACAACACTCCCTGGATGAATAAAGGCTCCTACGAGAGTGGAGATGGGCTATCCTTTCTCCCATCTTCAAAGGAGGGGACAGACAGAATCTCAACTGCCATAGACCCACAGCCCTTCTACCGATAATATCAGAAGTTATAAAAAGTGTGATCGACGGCCTTATCGGGGGATATCCGGACGAGAAACAAGCACTCATTGACGCTCAGTGTGGCTCCCGGAGGGGTAGATCCTGTGCCTCCAATCTCCTGACGGCCCATGATCACTAGACAGAAGGCTGGGACTTCAAGGTCCCGGCCCACGCAATTTTTCTGGACTTCGCCAAAGCTTTTGAAACCGTCTCACACACGATCCCAGTACATAGGATAGCTGGGTTAGGCATACTCAGCCAGGTGCTATCGTGGTTGCAGAACTACTTAGACAATAGGGAGTTCTGCATGAAAGTCAACAGGGTCTACTAAACTTGGAGAACATACTCATCTGGTGTCTCACAGGGAGCGATCAAGGGTCCACAGTTGTTCCCACTGTTCGTGGATGATCTGCCGCAACATATCAGCTCCTCGATTCTCGTATACGCTGATGACGTCAAGCTATGGGGGCCAATAACTTTCGGAGCAGAATCGAAAGCATTACAGAAAGACCTAAAAACACTAGAAGAATGGGGAACCAATAACGAACTGGCACTTGACCTGGATGAGTGCCAAGTGGCCACTATGGAGATCCTCGAGGAAACCCTAAGAGAATGGCCCACCAAAAGTCAAAAACTCATTTGCCTCCGCACTTCTTCTCCCTCCGAGTCTGCGGGTACTGGAACCCACTACCAGCCGAGGCTGTCTCCGTCCCAACTATTGAAAGCTTCAAGAAGAGACTAGACAGTCCCTGAGAGGTCCACGGTCTACTCACATATAGCTGTAACACGAACTGATGTCAAGCCACCCCAACTATCTTAACTTTACAACCAGTTTTCTTTCTGTTGTATTCATTTAAGCCCTTCTCATCCCTTTCACTTGCTGTGAATTAGCCTCACTTACCTAAGTTGTTCATACCTTTGCACCCCTCCTCGCCTCACTTGGGTGTAAGTAGAATACTCTATTAGTTCACTTTTCTTTTCCTCTTTCATTCACGCAAACACTTTATAGGTTCTCTCTTCACTATCACCAAACCTCTCTAGCGACCATTCGGAACAACTGTCTGGCAACTCGACATCTGAAGAAACCAACTGCACCATAGTCCAAGGCAAACAAACCAACACTTCCTGTTCTCTGAATCAGAGCTACAGAAGATGAGTGTCTAGATCTACGGCATCGGAACCCGCCAAGTACCTGGAACCGTTCCGCAAGACCAAGAAGCGAGCAAGAAGAAATCAACTGGTTTACACAAGCTCCTTTAAAAGATCTTGGATATTGGAAGAGCAGTTTGATAATACACATATTTCAAGTGAGGACGTTACATGCCAATGGCATCAAAGATCCCGTTTAAAAATGACGGGAGCTTCCTGGAATTGTTCAAGCAAATGCAAGGTACTTTCCACGGAATATCATTAAGTTACTTTCAGCTGAACAAGAGAGAGTGTCGATTGAAAAACCCATAGTTTCTGACGTAACTCAACTTTAAGAATTTTGACTTTCTGCTTTAGGTGGTTAAAGTAGAAAAAGTGGATGACTTTGACAGGTAATTTACATCACTTTCGATAATTTTGCTTCAGTGAAGTTTGCAAAGTTGAGGATGAAAAAGGTAGTTGTTTTGTGTGAATTTTTTTATCTTACTGTTCTCTGAATGGAATTCTAAGTGCCGTATTTCCAGTTATTCCCGATGATCCTAAGGTTTTGGTGGCCATCGAATCATTAGTTCTTCGTGTTTGTGGCATGTCTCATAGTCTCTGTGAAGCAGAAATCAAGAAGTTTGAGGACAGTATTCAGTATTGGTACGTTCAATTCTGCAGTTTTGCATTAACACTTCAACAGGTTCTTAACTCTTCCGGAGACCAATGAATATAAATTTTTCAGAAAAAGATTGGCTGAAGCTCGCAAGCACAAAATATCATGTCCAATCAGTAAGTTAACAAATTTGCGTATTTTGTACAACCTGAAGATGCGTGGCAGCTTGTCCTGGTAGCTTGCTCGTACTTCTTGAGCAAACAAAGCTTTCAATGATATTCTTCGCATAAGTGTTCCATGCAGATTACAGGGGTATAAGTTCAGCTGTTATGTGGATTATTCTTTACGCTCGCTGCCCTTAGTACTCAATATTTACTCATGCAATATCTAGCTGACGCTACATTTTTAATTGATGAGCTGTTTCCCTGCAGACGTAGGATACGCAGTTATTCGGTTTCTTTTATTTGTGCCTTCAGATAAATCAAAAAGACTTAGTTATAAATCAATTTGGATGATCAATTTTATGACGTGAAACCAACTAAATAGTTTTTGTCGGAACGCGAAAACATAAGATAGCTTTTAAATGCATTAATTGAACAGCGTTGCCCCTTACTTTTTATCCAGACTTAACTATGTTTGCTCAAAAGTTGGTAGTATCCGTAACAAAAATAAGTGATTTACCAGGCAGTAAATTACCTTGGGTCATAAAGTTACCAGTGTAATTCCCTCTAATTCGTTTGAAAATTCCTTTATTGCTGTTTGTTCTTGATCATATGTGCTGGGTTCTTTTTTTCAAGAAACCTATAACACTAGCTTTCACTTGAAATTTTTCACCTGCTTTCTGTCTTATCTTCAATATTCTATGAATACGTGCTTGCAACGCCTTCAGCCTTTTGTGACATTGTTTTGCGTACCAATCAACCTTTCCCTGTTGATGCAGCTGAGTTGCGCACGTATTTTTCATAACTGTTGTTGATGTTCCTTAGGTTCAAATCAATCATGGACCATAGTTGAAAAGCTTTAGTTGTCGGGCTTATATGATCAACTTTGAATTATACGTTAACATTAGTTTGCAAAGTGTCTCAAAGTGGCTCAAGCTGCCATACTTCACAGTAGTAAGCAACAAAAAGTATTTAGAAAAAAGAGCAATATCAAAGCAGCCAAAAGTTCCGTGACGGCATGAATAGTTTGAAGATAATGGTTAGTGCGAATACTCAAGCTTCAAAAGATTTCATAAAAGGAAAACAACTGTGACTGGTTTTCAGCCCTGTCGCCAAAGGTCTTCAACCATTGATTCGTTTCGTCTTGGAGGCCCTAACCAGGCAGTACACTTCACACACGGCTCAGGCCAACAGAAAGAGACTTCATCGGCTGGTGCCAGGTCTTGGTCTGATCACTTTTAACTTCCTTCCAACCTAGTCCAACTCTCCCTAACATAATAAGTCGGAGTAGGTGGAGGCTCGGCATGCGCAACACATCCAAGCTACCTCAGCTGATGAAGACTCACAACCTACCTGTAGTTAGAAAAGATGCCAACCCAGACCAGTTACGAAGCAACGATTTGCATTTAAGTGGTGAGAAACATATCTCAATCATCCTCGAATTCCCACTCAAGATGTTAAGATCCTGTGATTTTTTTGGTGTCTTCACGTAATACGACTATGTAGTTTGGATACTCTGAGTCAAACAAGTACCTTTCGGTAAGTCTATTCCTCTGAAGTCAAAAGTACTCAAGATTATGCCCACCTATGCTCCGTATGCTCTCATACGACTTTATGAATTCGAGAAAGCTTTTATTACCGTAGTTCACCTAAGCGGTTCTCCTTTCAAAATGTCTATCTTGATCTAGTGGTTTAAATGCTACTTTCAGGTTAAGAAAACTATGATTGAGTAGAGAAAGCTAATTTGAAGATATAGCCAGAAATGCCGTCTGAAACTAACTTCAACTGATTCTCCTCACGATTCTGTAAGTCTCTTCGACTGAATATGGTTAATAGAACCACTCCTCTAACCAAATTGTTGGTGGTTATTTGAACTTCCCCATTTTCAACTATCAGGAATTTGGGAAATCCAAATGTGTGCAACTCTTGTATGAAAAGTAAATTAGTTTATAAAAATTAACTTAGGACAAGGCTTGGCTTACACATTTAAATAAAAGTGGTTAAATATTCAGAAACTCACCGATGAAACAAGAAAACCTACTTAGAGGTAATTAATGTGCTACGTAAATTCAATCTACATAGGTGTTGTGAACTAAAATGAAGTAATGAGTTGGAACTTGATCTATTGCAATTTTATGTAAATGAATTGTTGGCGCCGTTTGCCTTACACCAAGAGGTGAGCTAGTGAATTGCTACACACTTGCCGGCGTATTCTCACAATGAAATGATTTACTGACTGACTGATAAAATCAACATAAAACCTCGCACGCAGGTGCATCGGTTCAAGTTACCACACTTCACAGTAGTTCACAAAGAAGAGGTGAATAGGAAAAGAGCTGTATCAAAGTAAACAAAGTTGTGTAAGGGAATAAATAATTTGAATATAAAAAGTGGTGCAAATATTCAAGCCTTAGATATCAAATAGTGAGTACATCTGTACCATAATGACCTATTTTCAACCATGTCACTAAGAGTCACCAATCACTGAATCTTATCGTCTCAGGGACTCCAGCCAGGTAGTCTGCATCTCCCAACACAGCCCCAACTACTTAATCTGACCGTCCTGAGCCTTCCTCCGATTTAACCAAACTTCTGCTTTGATGAAAACATCGAGTTAGGCGGTGACTCGGTATGCACAACACGTCCAGTCCACTTGAGGGGCTAAAAACTAACAACCTCATCGACGGGTTTGCTTTCCTTGCCTAGCACCCTCGCCTGACCTTAACATTGCTCACACGGTGACTCCACCAATTGCAAGCAATGCTACAAAGACGCCCATGATCAGACACTTGTAACCCCTTCATGTCTTCTACTCCTAACGACCATATGTCAGCCGTACAACATGACAGAACAAACTACAGCACAGTAAACTCATATGATGAGCAATTGGATATCCCGGCAGCTGGTGCCGCAGAAGACTCAAGTTCTCAAATGCCTAATTGGCTTTCTGCATCAGAGATGAGATTACGTTAGCAACCAGCTTGTTCGTGCTGATGCAACGCCTCACGTAAGTGAAGCGGCCGACATATTCCGCCACTTTTTCGGGACTCCGTTTACAGTTAGACACTGCCACAACACCTCAAGGTTGACAGAGTCGAATGCCGCCTTCACGTAAAGAAAGATGGCAATTGTCGACCACTGGTAAATATGCCTGTGTTCCAGAACATGGGGTTATATTTATGATTCATGCATCCTCGTCCCGGTTTAAAACCCGTCCAGTTTTCTCGCGTTCGTTGTCCTCGAGCTCCAAACAGGCATCGGATAACTATGCATCTTAGGATCTTAGACACAATATTAATCAAACTGATTCCTCCATGGTTGTCACAAGAAGACTCCTCTCACTTATTGTAGACTGAGATGACCAGTGAAGTACACCAGTCTGAAGGCACTACCTCTGATTCCCATGAACTACCCAGTATCTCTGTCACTTTAATTAGCGATTTCCTACCCCCATACTTGAAAATGCAAGTGGCAAACTGTCAGGTCCTGCTGCTTTGCATCATTTAGAGTTCGATACAGCTTCCTCAGCATCAAAGAGATGTCAAGGACCAAAACCTACGTCCTATTCAGGTTCAGGCTGGATGTTGGGCAACTGGAGCGTTTCTGAGGACCAGTTGAACAGTGGTTCAAAATGTTCTGCCCAACATTCTAGCGGCCTGTCCTGTGGAGTTATCAGCGCGTCATCCTTTCTGGTGGCTGTTTCATTAACTATCTTCTTTTTGTAGTCAGTATCCTTAATAAGCTTAAATAATTACCGAGTGTTACCCAACGACGAAATCTTTTTCATCTCTCTGGCTTCCGCTTCCCACCACTACTCGTGATCGACGCGAAGACTCTTGGTCAACTTACATTTGAGTTGATTTCGTTCTTCGTAGTGGTCCGAGTCAGCTGAAATCAGTCTTCTCGCATCAACCAGTTCAAATGAGGTTGCAGAAATCCACAGACGTTTGCTAATTTTCGGGTATAGGTTACCAGTTGTCTTTACCACTGTTTCCACAGCAGACTTAATATGATACCAGGTTTCCTCAGGATCATCATTACTGTCACATTCAGACGAACGCTTAGCTAACTCCTCCCTAAATACGCACATGGCGTCTTCATCTTCTAATCGAGGACAGACAGGCTTTAATATCGCCTGTTTCCTGTGACTGGTAAGGCCCAGACAGACACTTGATAAGAGGCCACAAACAGTGGCAATCCTCCGTCGATCCTCTCCAACGATGGCTTATAGCAATATTATCTATCTGTGTTCGTCGGTTTGATGTCGGCAGAAGCCATGTGAGACATTATCTATCTTTATGCTTGAAGTTAGTGCTAACCAAAAGCAAGTGACTGTCGCAACAAAATTACAAGAGACGATCACCGTTGTCTGTTCGTAGGCATTGGATTCCGTAAATGCCCCCCAAATGCCTTTCTGATTGGCTCAGCTTCCATTCTTGAGTGTTAAGGTCATCTGATTATATCTGGACGTTTTGTTCTATGTAGCGAAGTTGATAACGCATAGAATTCATCCTATGCACCATCTGAACTGTTATTGGTGGGCGCAGAGGCGGAAGTCACCAATAGGCGTCGGTTGGTCTCACGATCCTTCCTAGTCCTTACAAATCCATTCAATCCAACAGCAAATACACGGGTGTTGGCTGGTAGGCAGTCGAGAATCGCACTTTCCGCCCTACAAATCAACGCTATGCCTACACCAGCCAGTCCATGAGAGATAGCCACTTGATCTCCCGATACTCGTAGGGTGAACTTTGAAGATTCACTACTATGGTCAGATGAGATCAATGTAATAACCACACTCAAGTCCTGTATACGTGTTTGAAAGACACAGCATATATCCATGGCTAGGGATTCCAAAGTTCCGGTGGGTGGTGCCTGCTGTTCGACTTTGCTTAGGGTTTGGACGCTGAAAGCTACACGAAATCGATGGCAGGGTGCTAGTGGATTAGTAACGAGGTTTCGATGGCTTTGATCATTGGTACTGGTTGCAGAGTGAGGTTGAGTAGGTTGTGAGAGGCTTGGTATTTGTTTAAGGAGGTGAAGCTAAAGAAGACGGCCTGAGGAGGATAAGTTATGTTTGATTGGGTCTTGTGTAATGTTGGAAGTGTGGGGGTGGTTGACACTTCTCAGGTGCCCACACTCTGGAAGGCTGTTTCTTCTCAGGGTATTTAGAGGAGAAAAGGGTTTGTGTGACTCCTGGACCCATGAGCAATGTGGTTGAGACCTGTCACATGGCCTTTTGTGGAATGTTGTTTTATGGTTTGGCTGTTTCAACACCGGATACAGAGAACTTATAATGGCGGCACCGAGTGACCGTGGGCCGACATTTTCCAACCCCCCATGTTCCATTCAGAAGGCAGCATCAGGGTGGCACTTCTGGTCATCCATGGTGAACACCTTACTACTGTCATATCTCATCCAGCTAGCAGCAGTACGACTCTGTCCTCAGACTCCCATCATAGTTTAGTGATTTGCACTACATCGGTAACTGTTTTTCATCTTAAAACTATTCAACAGACCTTTCGGGTATAGTAGGACCTCGACGAAACAAATGTCCCACCAGCATAGGTTGTTGGTTCATTATGGTATTCAAGCCCGACCACCACGTTCAGGTAGCAGCTATCGGCTGGGATATGTAGCTGTAGAACTGAATGTAGCATAGAGGACAGCAGAAATCGATGTTTGTTGACTGTGGTACTGGTTAGGGCCGATATGAATTATATGAATGCTTCCAATGTGTTCCTGTCGCCAATTATGGATATCTCACTTTCCTATGTGTTTTCGTTACCGGCTGTAATTTAGTCTCCATAATTTTTCTAATACTTACTGCTGTCATTATTATTCCTCTGCTAACATTGTGTTGAATTCTTTAATTCTGTAGACCTGTAATGACAAGTATGCTATGTCCTGTACCATTTTACAGTCTATTAAATTATCCAATAGGTAAAATTTCTTGTTTATTGCAATATTACAGTTAAACATAGATGTAGAACCTGTTGCAGAAGTGCATCGGTTAAAGCTGCCATATTTTTACAGCGGCATGTAAATAAGTGGATTGAAAGTGACCTTAGGATTGGCCAAAGTGTATGAGGAAAAAGATATGTAAAGCCTGATGAAAATATCCAACGCTTCAAAAATGAAAAAAAGTGAAAAGATTATGAATATCTAGGCCATAGTTGTTACGGATGTTGAGCATTGAGCCAGGTCTAATCTAACTAGTCAACCCCAAATGACAAGGACTGCATAAATCTACGATGATTAGTTGGAAATAACCAGTCTGAACAACAAATCAGGTAACCAATGGGCTAAAGACAGAAGTTCCCACACGTATCATTTGACAGTATATATTTTGACGTTGAATAAAAATCTGAGTATTTTGTTGAAGAAACGTTCAGAAAGATCTTGTTTTGATTTTCTAAACACCTTGGGATTGTATTAAAACTTACTTATAAAAAAGGTGTAAACGTCTGTTTTGTTGTGACCGATTTTAATCCATATCATGAGTCACCAACCATTACTTCCCATCATTTCGAAAACCCTACCCAGACAGCCTACATCTTTGTACACGACTCAGGCAAACAGTCAAACTTCATGAATTGGCACCACGTTTATAATATTACAGCAGGGAAAGAAATTATATTTTGAAACCTTTCTAGTGATTATCATATTATGTTAAACTCTTTAAAATACAGTAGCATTAAAGTTATTCTTTGTATAAGTCATGCCTTTGAAGTTAACACAATTTATTATTCATTTTGTTAACCTTTCGAAATAATATATACTGTGGTTGTTACTATACATTTTACTGTAGCGTAATTTGTAACCACTGACATTAACACTACATAGTTGTAGAATCGTTATTTTCACTGTGATCTGAGATGTGATTGTGAAATTACTGCCACGTTTACTAGATTTGTATGTTTATGTCGTTGATGCAGATACATATGGTCCTCAGAGTAATATTTTTTGTTCTAGAATCCGAGCCCACAAGTAATTGCAAATCAGAGGGTGATGAGTCAAACCCTGCCAAGAAACGTCGTTCCAGATGGGATGAAAAAGGCAATGAACCTGAAACAAGCGGAGCTACTAAAAACACTTTAGATGGCTCACTCGCTTCCGCAATCACATTAGCTAAAGCTGCTGCAGCTGCTGCAAAAACTCAAGGTATTCTTTTCTTTTTTGTAGTTCTCTTTTAATATTGAGTTGATAGGAGTATTTTTGTACTGATATTGACACATGATTCTTATTTCATTGCCTCGAACATTCTGTAAATTTTCTGACAAGTTGTTATGGGGAATGTTGTAGATGTAGCTTTACGCTTCTTCCTGAATAACTTTAAAATGAAGTAGAAAAAGATCATCGAACACCTTAAATTCTTACTGGCTTTTGTTTAACGTTATGCGAATAGCATTGCAACTACTTTTGAGACAAACTGACTGGTTATAAGACAGTTTTAGTATGATATAGACACAACATATACTATTATTATTTATTATTAGTCCCTTGGGTTCCTAGTGGAACATAGGGCTTCAGTAGCACGCCTCCAGTGACCTCTGTTCTCTGAGATCTTTTGAACCTGGTTCCACGACAGCCCACAACCTCTCATTTCCTCTTCGCATGACCTCCTCCATGTCACCCTCGGACGTCCAACTCGTCGCTTCCCATGGGGATTCCACTCGAGGGCCTGACGCGTGATGTCCTCAGTCGGCCTTCTCAGTGCATGGCCAATCCATCTCCACTTCCTCCTGCATATTTGTTGCGTGATAGGTTCTTGGTTGGTTCGTTCCCAGAGTTCCTTGTTGCTTATTTTTTCTGGCCATCTGATCTTCAGCAGCGAGCGTAAGCAGTTGTTGATGAATGTCTGTAGTTTATTGGAAATCCCTTTCGTGACACGCCAAGTCTCTGAGCCATACAAAAGCACTGACTTGACGTTAGTGTTGAAAATCCGTATCTTGTTCCACATGCTGAGTGCAGAAGATCTCCACACTGGTTTCAGGCTAATGAACGCCTGTCTTGCTTTTCCGATTCTGACTTTGACGTCCTCGTCTGTGCCTGTGCCGCCTGTAGTTGAAACAGTGCTTCCTAGATAAGTGAAGGAGGTTACTTCCTTCAAGTTTCTCCCGTTGACGGTGATTGGAGTTTGTTGTTGTTGTTGATGGTGGTGGTGCGGTATCTTCATCACTTCTGTCTTCTCTATATTCACCTGAAGTCCCGTCTTCGCTGCCTCTTCTATCAACTTGTTAGTTTTTGCCTGCAGATCTTCAAGTTTGTGTGACATTAGGCATAAGTCATCGGCGAAATCCAAGTCTTCTAGGTTCTTTTCCGTCGTCCAGTGTATCCCCCTCTTCTCGCTGCCTACTGTTTGCTGCATGATCCAGTCCACCACAATCAGGAATATCATGGGGGATAGTAGGCAACCTTGTTTCACTCCTGTCTTCACTTCAAAGGCATCACTGAGCTTCCCATTGTGGATTACTTGGCATGTGGCATCTTCATATAGTTGTTGAATGAGGCGGATAAAGGTTTGTGGTACTCCGTAGTATTGAAGCAGTTTCCAAATTACTTCTCGGTCGACGCTGTCAAAGGCCTTCTCAAAGTCGATGAAGTTGAGGTAGAGAGCTGATTGCCATTCTATGCTCTGTTCTATGATGATACGAAGCGTTGCAATTTGGTCTGCACATGATTTGTACTTCCTGAAGCCTGCCTGTTCCGGTCGCAGTTTTGAATCCAGTGCGTCTTTAAGCCTCTCTAGGATGATGCGGCTTAATATTTTACTTGGGGTGGACAGGAGAGTGATTCCTCGCCAGTTCTTGCAAGCACTGAGGTCTCCCTTCTTCGGCAGTTTGACAAGGTAACCCTTCTTCCAATCGTCAGGTACCTTCTCTTCCTTCCACACCTTCTGCAATAGTGGTGTGAGCATGTCCGCTGTTGTCTCTGCATCTGTTCTCAGTGCTTCTGGCGGTATTCCATCTGGTCCTGCTGCTTTCCCGCATTTCAGTAGCTTTATGGCGTTCAGGACTTCCATTTTCGTTGGGGGATTAATGTTCACTTGTAGTTCAGCGGCTGCAGGTGGTATTTCTGGACGAAGTGCAGGTGGTGGTCGATTCAAGAGCTTCTTGAAGTGGTCGGCCCATCGTTTCCTCTGTTTCTCTTCTTTTGTAATTAAATTTCCTTCTTCATCTTTTATTGGTTTCATCTGTGTTGGTCTCTTCCCTGATAGCAACCTGGTTATTTGATACAATGTTGTCAGGTCTCTCTTACCTGCAGCCTGTTCTGCTTCACTTGCCAGTGTTTCGTAGAAGTGTCTTTTGTCTTTGCGTGCACTCTTCTTCACTTCTTTGTCCAGTGTTTTATACATTGTGCTCAGTTCCTCTTGTCGTTGAGCATCCTTGCACTGGTTTATCTTCTGCTTCACCATCCTCCTCTCCCTGCTCTATCAGCTTCCATGTATCCGTCGAGATCCATTCCTTGTCTTCTTTCTTCTTCCTTCCTAATACTGTTGTGCAGGTTTCTTTGTACATAGCTTTCAAAGACTTCCAGTGTTCTTCCACACAGGTTTCTTCAGGGATGTGCCTCGATATCTCCCATTTTGTCTTGATGGCTGCCTTGAAGATCTCCTTTGTAGTTTCATCCTTCAGTTTCCGAGTGTTGTACTTGAATTGAGGTCTATCACCAGCTTCCTTGAAGGCTTTTAACTTGATTTGGAAGGTTCCTTGAACTAGATAGTGGTGTGAACCTACATCTGCTCCTCTTCTTGACCTTGTGTTAAGTAGACTGCGTCTCCATTTTCTTGAGATTGAGATAAAGTCGATTTGATTTTTAGTGTGTCCTGGTGTCTGGTGAAATCCATGTCCTGCTTTGTGGATATCTTTGTGCCTGAACACACTGCCTCACTGCAATCACCAAATCGTTGAATGCGCAGAATTCTGCAAACAATTCTCCATTCTCATTCATTTCACCTAGCGCCTCTCGACCCATGGTTAGTTCTCTTCCCGTGTTGTCCCCTCCCAGTTTGGCATTCATGTCGCCCATTAGAATTTTGATATCGCCAACTGGAGTAGGGTCTTGTCCAGTGTTGATTGAAGTTGTCTGTAGAAATCCTCCTTTTTCTCTTGCTCTGCGTGATTTGTAGGTGCATAACATTGTATGATTGTGACCTTTCTTCCTTTTGAGTTGAATCTTGCTGTCATGATCCTGGAGGAGATTGGTTCCTACTGCATGAGAGCCTTCGATGCTCTTGAGGACATCATGATAGCCACTCCATAACTCAGTGTGCTCGTGGTTGGCATCTGGGTGACCGGAGTAGATTATTGATTCTCCAGTTGACAGTTTGGAGAGTCCACTTCCATTCCATCTGCTTTCGCAAATCCCGAGCACTTCGATGTTATACCTTCTCATCTCGTTTGCATCTCGTTTACTGGGTTCAAACATGGTGCGGACATTCCATGTCCCCACGTTTACTTTCGCTTTCATCTAGGGAGAGAAGAGACATCGGCCAATTGGCTTCCCGAAGGCAGGCTTTCACCAACTGGCGTGATTTCGCCTCTCCGATTCCAGCGGGGAATAAGTTTGTTTTCATTTTTTATATTTTGTTTGTGCTTTGAAGTTTCTTTAGCGGTTAGATTTGTTTTAGGGGGTAGGGTTGCTAGCCCTATGCCCAACCTTCCCTCTTTACCCGGGCTTAGGACCGGCTAGTAACTAGTAAACTAGTTAACCAGGCGAGGTTACAACATATACTAATGTGAATAAATTGCATTTTTCAAGAATTCAACAACAAGGAGCTCGCCTGATTAACTAGTTCACTAGTCACTAGCCGGTCCTAAGCCCGGAGAAAGAGGGAAGGTTGGGCATAGGGCTAGCAACCCCACCCTGTAAAACCAATTCATTCTCTAACGAAACTTCAAAGCACAAAGAAAATTAAAAAAACAAATACAAACTTATTCCTCGATGGAATTAGAGAGACGAAATGACGCCAGTTGGTGAAAGCCCTAGAGAAGCCACTTGGCCGATGTGTCTTTGCTTCCTTCGATGAAAGCGAAAGTAAAGATGGAATGTCCACACAATGTTTGGAGTTGACTGGCTGGCAAGGCTGCCCATATTGCCAGAGAGATGAGAAGGGATAGCATAGAAGTGCTAGGAATCTGTAGATGGAATGGTAGTGGGCTCTCCAAACTCTTAACAGCAGAGTCAATAATCTATTCCGATATTGTCACCCAGGCGACAACCATGAGCCCACTGAGTTTTCGAGTGGCTATCATGATGTCCCCAACAGCATCGAAGGCTTTTAAGAAGTGGGAACCAATCTCCTTTACGTTCAGGATCAGGATAGTGGCAGCAAGGTTCAACTCAAGAGGAAGGAAAGTCACAATCATACAATGCTACGCTATACACCTACAAACAATGGGGATCAAGAGAAGAAGGAGGAATTCTACAGACAACTGCAATCAGTACTGAACAAGACACCAACCCATTTGGAGACATCAAAATTCATTCTGATGGGTGAGATGAGTGCCAAACTGGGAGGGAACAACACAGGAAGAGAACTAACCATGGGTCGAGAAGTGCTCGGTGAGGTGATGAACGAGAATGGAGAACTGTTTGCAGACTTCTGCGCATTCAACGATTTAGTGATTGGAGGCAGTGTGTACAAACACATGGATATTCACACAGCGACATGGATTTGATTTCACCAAATGGACACACTAAAAATCAGACCGCCCTCATCTCAATCTGAGGGAGGTGGAGACGCAGTCTACTGGACACAAGATCAGATGAAGAAGGGAAGCAGATGTTGGTTCACATCACCCACTATCTAGTGCAAGCAAACTGCCTTCCAAATCAAGTTGAAAGCCTTCGAAGAAGTTGGTGAGAGATTGCAGTTGAAGTTGAACACCCAGAACAGAAACTGAACTGAACTGAAGGATGAAACTACAAAGGACATCTTCATGTCAGTCAGCTATCAGGGAAAAATGGGAGACATTAGGTAACATCCCCGAGGAAACCTGCGTGGAAGAACTCTGAAACTCCTTCAAAGAGATATGGACAGAAACATGCATAAGTGTGTTAGGAAGCTAGAAGACAAAGACAAGACAAGGAGTCTATCTCGATGGACACATGTAAACTGATAGAGGAGGGAGAGGAAGATGGTGATGGTGAAGCAGAAGATGAACCAGTGCAATGCAGTGCAGTGCAGTGCAAGGATGAACAACGAAAAGAGGAACTGAAGATAACCTATAAAACACTACACTGGACAAAGAAGTGAAGAAGGGTGCGCGCAAAAACAAAAGACACTTCTACGACACTGGCAAGTGAAGAACAGGTTGTAGGTAGAAGAGCTAGAGACCTGACAACATTATATCAAATAACCAGGTTACTATCTGTGAGTGAAGAGATCAACGCAGATGAAACCAGTGAAAGATGGTGAAGGAAACGTAGTTACCAAAGAGGAGAAACAGAGGAAACAATGGGCTGACCACTTCAAAAAACTCTTGAATCGACCATCACCTGCAACTCGTCCAGAAATAACACCAGCTCCGCCACAGAATTACCAGTGAACACAAGCCCTCCGACAAGAGCCGAAGTCCTGAACGCCATAAAGCAGCAGGACCAAGTGGAATTCCTCCAGAAGCACTGAAATCAGACGCAGAGACAACAGTAGACACACTCACACCACTACTGCAGAAGGCTTGGAAGGAAAGTTACCTGCAGATTGGAAAAGGTCTATCTTGTCAAACTTTCAAAGAAGAGAGACCTAAGTCTGCAAGAACTGGTGTGGAATCATGCTGCTTCCTACCCCAAGCAAAATAATATGCCGTTTCATACTGGAGAGATTAAAAGGTGCTCTGGTTTCAAAACTGCGACTGGAGCAGGCTGGCTTCAGAAAGAACAAATCATGTGCAAATCAAATTGCAATGCTACGCATCATCATAGAACGGAGTATAGAATGGCAGTCAGTTCAATTCAACACCAACTTTATCCATTTTAAAAAGGCCTTCCTTCGATAGAGTCGACTGAGAAGTAATTTAGAAGCTGCTTCAACACTACAGAGTACCACAAACTTTTATCAACCTCATTCAACAGCTATATGAAGACGCCACATGACAAGCGATTCAGAATGGGAAGCTCAGTGATGCCTTTGAAGTGAAGACAGGAGTAAGACAAGGCTGCCTACTATCACCGATAATCTCCCTGATTGTGGTCGACTGGATTATGCAACAGCCTATGAGGAGCGAGAAGATGGGCGTACACTGGCTGGACGGATGAGAAAACCCTAGAAGATTTGGATTTTGCCAATGGTGATTTATTTCTAATGTCGCACAAACTCGAATATCTAAAGGCGAAAACTAACAAGTTGGCAGAAAAGGCAGCGAAAATGGGACTTCAATTGAATGTAGAGAAGACAGAGGTGATGAAGATACCCAACCAACAACAGCATCAACAACAATCACCATGAACACGAGAAACCTAAAGGAAGTAGTCTCTTTCACCTACCTAAGCAAGGCAGCATCGTTTCAACTACAGGTGGAACGGGCACAGATGAGGACGTCAGAGCCAGGATCGGAAAAGCAAGGCAGGTCTTCATTAACCTGAAACCAGTGTGGATATCTACTGTACTGCACTCAGCATAAAGAACAGGATCCGGATTTTCAACACCAACGTCAAGTCAGTTCATCTATGTGACGGTTCAGAGACTTGGCATGTCACGAAAAGCGTTTCCAACAAACCGCAGATATTCATCAACAGCTACCTACGCTCGATACTGAAGATCAAGTGGCCGGAAAGAATGGGCAACAAGGAACTCTGGGAACGAACCAACGGAGCAAGAACCCATTGCCCAACAAATATGCAGAGGAAAGTTGAGATGGATTGGATTGAGCATACACTGAGAAGACCGACTGGGGACATCACGCGCCAGACCAGGCCGTCAAGTGGAACCCAAAGGGTAAACGACGAGTTGGGCGTCCGAAGGTGACATGGAGGAGATGGTATGAGGAAGAAATGAAATCTTGTGGGCAGATGTGGAGCCAGGTTCAAGAAACTTGAGAGAATAGAGTGAAATGGAGACTTGCTACTGAATCCCTATGTTCCACTAGGAACCCAAGGGACAAATAATAATAATAAGATAGTAAAACAAATCCGAAATATTTCATTTTATTGAAGAAATAGCTGTAAATCAACAGAGTGCTTAATATCCAGAGGAATAAAAGTTCTGGATATCACGACGTAATTTGAGTTACTGCATCCTAATTTACAGCTGCTTTCATGATGTGGTCAGACTTGCAAATCGTACGGATTCAACTTCTGTTTCAGCTGGTAAATTCGTTCTTTGAGATCTTAACACGCCAGAAACGTCTGTTGGAGAGTGGTAAGGCTAAAAGCAAATGTCATCATAATGTAAACAACTTACGTTACGCTAAGGGTCCATACGAGAAGTTGCATTGTTCATTGTATAGGATTTGATAGCCGCAAATTTATTCTCTAGGATAACCGGTATCTTAAGTTAATGCTACCTCCACTTATCAGAAAGCAGGGTTAAAAGTTACGGTAAAGTAACAGATTCCTCTTACCCTATGAGCTCCCGGTGCTGGTTGCAAGGGTTTATCTTCAAGTACAGATGTAGCACAGTTAAATCCAAACCAAAAACTACCAAACAAGTAGTATTTGACTGACATCAAGTAGCTACCTTTTGAACTCTGTGATCATACACTCAGGTCTATAATGCCGCCCGAACCAATTCGATTTTCCAAGTTGGTATTTATCATGAACTGACATCAGTTGGAGAAACAGTGGGAACCTGGGAACACTGAACAGCTGTTTTTTCCTGGTATAGGACTCCTCAGCAGTGCTCACCGACGACCTCCCGTCGCCAGGGGTCGAATCCAGGACCTTCAGGTTCAGTGGCCAGCACATTACCATTGGACCACTGGGTCGGAATCTAATGATCCATATTTCCGACGTCTGTCAGTTCCAGGACAAAGCGCAACCATCACCTAGTGTCATCGTTGAACATCTTTTGAACATCCTGAGCGAAAATTCGAGTGTTTAAATTGCGTTTTGCATATGTCGGCTTCAAGATAACATTTCAAAACGAACCTGCACCGATCCCTGGTTTCAGGATAGGAATTTAAGCATTTGGATGATATGTGAAGGAGGATCGAGTTGCAAGAAGGCTTAAGGTGGTTGAATTAAGACGTGGTTACCGGTTCATGAAGTCTATGACTATTGGTCTGAGCCGTTTAAGCTATCTGGTTGGAGTTGGACACTCGATAATATGGATTAAAATCGGTCATTTTCGAAGTTCTGAATATCTTGATCAAGTCTTATTCATTTATTCTGTTTCTTCTCATGTGGATCTTTGGGTTAGAAACCCAACTTTTAATCAGTGAGTCACAGATTCTATGTCCACTGCACCTACTTTTGCTTGAGGAGCCAAGCAGTAGCATTATTTTTCTCGCAAAATAAGTGTGACTTACTGTTAAGTGCATGAATATGCATGTCGAAGATCGGAATGAACTGTAACTGTAACTGTATGCATGTCCATACAGCAGACAATGTGCCATATCGTTTGTGAAGGCTAATAATAATACTACATGGTTGATCATAACTCGGTGAGTGAAGCGGGATCTGAGAACATCACTCACCGGCTAATAATTCAGTACCTAGATGGATCAACCACAGCTCCTCTACATCAAAATATTCAACTTTTTGTATACCTTTTGTCGAATATCTCACGAAAGGGTTTTTAATACTGTAACTCAACAATCGTATGTAGATCCATGCACTAGGTAATGATCTACATATATTTTTTTGAAGGTTTATGATACTTTTTGACTACTCAAACTTCGATAAATTGTGCGGGATTTGAATCCATCACCTGCAAGTTGAAAACCAACACCTCTTTCAAGGAGTCACTGTCATGAAATGGATTACTTTTGATCTAATTGTTTCTTATACTCTACAAACTGAAGTCTCAACGAAAAATTGATTTTGACTAAGTGGTAATACTTAGATTCAGATTTCTAAAAAGATGTTTTGTTACTGACTGATATACTCATAGGTAGGTTACGGTTTAATATGTTTAGAAAAAAGATTAAATTACATTGTCTAAAAAGTAACTTTTTTCTAAATGATCCAGTTGTGTTTACTTTTAATGGATTTTCTCTGTTCCATGCGTTATAGCCACTTCATAAAATTTATTAATTTAGGGGTAAATACTTCCAATCCGAACCAATTCACTGGTGGCGTTGTGCTTACACCTGAACAGGCTGAACAGATTCGTTATCAGAAAGAGGTTTGTTAACTGTTATATCTTGTTTTTAAAAGTTTAGTAAGTATAATTTAGAAAAATCTAAACTTTTTAAACAATTAACTGTTGAGAAAGTTCACCACTCTATTAATTTTCCATAAATTTTATGATTCCATCATATTTCCATGCCTGATTGCTTGTATGTTACTATACTTTGTTCCACTATCAAATCAAATCTAATTGGTTTCGATTCTGGTTACTTTTTTAATATTTCATAAGAAAATCAGAATTATCCTCAGATCTTCGTTTATTACACTTCTCGCATAACTCTACAATAACAACAATTCACTTTTATTTTCTTTAGAAACAGTTCAGATGCAACCTATTTAGAATATAATCCAGTCACTACAGTAACGAAGAGTAAAAACTTTATATTTTCGCTTCACAATTCTATTTGTGTGTATCCTTGTAACAGTATCTGATTTACCTGTTGACTCACATATCGATGGAACAAGTTATTGTTAGATCTTAGTAAACGTTGTCAATATCTTTGACGAATTTCATGCTGAATCACAGATTTTAATATTCTTATTTCATAATACCTATGGAAAGCTTGTATATAGTAGTGGTTGTGAAGATTTTTGTGTCTGCCGTCGGAATGCAGTGCAGTCATTCATTTTCGCTTGTATTTAAAAAAAAACAAACAACTTATTTTGTATTTGAGTTTTGTCGGTAAAAGGAATAGTTCATACAAATTCATTGATGGTTATGGTACTCAACCATTCACATGTGGGATTATGTGTGAAATCTTGTTTCCATTCTCACTTAAATAGCCACAATCATTGTATGTTGTATGCAGAATTTGTTCTTAGTAAAGTCAACGTGTATATTCTCGATAATCTTGTCTCTGATTTTAATCGTCTTCACTCTGTTGAGAGTCAACTAGCTGTTTCTCTGTTTAGTATTACGGTAATAGGTAATATTCATGGTTTAGCATATGAGTTGGTACGTAGTCACTGAGTTTGAATTTCTAACTGTAGCTCAATAGACTAATTATTAAGTCTGCTCTTGTATTCAATTGGTGTATCTATTGCTCGCCAAGGTTTTAACTCCCTCAGTACTTCGTCAATGAGCTTTAGGTACCATAAGGTCTCATTTCAAATAAAGCACTTATAGCAATTAATTGCATTGCACGAAGCATCGTGAACAATTTGATATGATTTTTATCGTAAGCCAATATCCTTCTAATAATCGTTAAAATTATAAAAGCACTAGATAGCTGATCCTCCACACTATGAAATACACTTATGCTTATATGAATGTCTCTTCTTTTGGATTTGAATCCTAGGATACCAATTTTCACACTCAGTACGTTAGTATGCTACATACTACAACCAGACCTATAGGTTTCAAGATCACTGTGTTGTGTTTGAAATCTGGAGTTGATTTTCAAAGAAACCTGTGTGATGTGTGGAATGAAATGGTGACATATATACGATACTTTTTGACATAGATTTTTCTGTAAAATCAACCTTTAAATGTACCAGAAATTTACAATTCACTGATTAGCTTAGGTAGACTCTGTTTTTTAACAATAGGGAACAAAGTGGCTTGGCAAGTTCACCACTTCATGTAAGAAGTTATTTGGTGTAAATCAAATTTTTCTGGCTACCGTCCACGTGACAAGCGAAACCGATAAATGATTGCTTTAAAAAATATAGCATGATCGATACCGGGATGCAAATGTATACACCTCTTAATTTCATCTGGAAAATAAACATTTGGCTTTCAGTGTGTTCTAATTTTCTGTTCTACTGTATGGTTGTGAAACATGGCCATTGAAAGTGGAGGATACAAAAAGGCTTCAGGTGTTTGACCACCGTTGCCTTCGTAATATAGGACGTATTCCGTGGTGTCACCACGTGAGTAATGCAGAAGTTAGGTGTAGAGTTTTGGGGAGAAGAGGTAAGTCAGTTGACGAGGTTGTGAACCTTCATCGACTGAGATGGTTGGGACACGTACTACGTATGCCTAGTCACCGATTGCCTCGTCACAAAATGTTGGCTGAGGTGGGTTCAGGCTGGAAAAAGGCCCGAGGTGGCCAGACTAAAACATGGCACCAATGTATGAAGTCTCTGACTGTTGGTTTAAGCCATGTAGGACGATGCAGACTAGGTGGTTGGGGTCCACGGGACAAGAGGAACCAGTGGTTGGAGACCCTAGGTGATATGGCTCAGAACCGAAGTCAATGGCGCAGATGTATACACACATTATCCTCATCTTAACAACGATATACCGAATCTCACCATTTTGTCACTCCTCTTTCCTTTCTTCTCGTACTTTATATTTCTTTTGACTGCATTCACTTATCTTCATCCTTCGCCTCACTACCTTTTTACTTGATGTGCTGATATGAGGTGTGGCAACTCGGACCGTTACGCAGTAATGCCTGGTCCTATGTTGATAATGATGATGATGTAATACCTTTATGCTTCAATCTATTTGTCATAACTGATATGGTTCCCATTGTTTTGATTTCCTTACATTTCACTAATATGGCACGTGACAACGTATACCATTGCATAATTATGTAATACCTTGTATTGTTTTTACTTTCCTGTTTATCTGTCAGTTCACCAGTCTGTTACTGAATATGCTATTAATGATGGGTAGTGGCTGTTAGTGGAGTCCAGGACGTGCGTTGCATTTTATTTGGGACTCTTCAGCTGGATGTACCTGCCTCCCAGTGGGTGATGTTCCCACTGATTGGTTCTAAGTTCGAGTCTTAGTGGGAGCAACATCACCCACTGGGAGGCAGGTACATCCATGTAACGAGTCCCAAATAAGACGAAACGTGCATTCTGGTTTCCACTGTTAGCCGCTATCCATCATTAACATGAAATTTGAAAATACCGCCAATATCAAGACATCTGCACAAAGGAGTCCGTTTGTCAGTAGTGGCAGATGCACAAGTTATAACATCAACGAATGTCTCTGAATGTTTGTCACCTTTCACTTGTTTACAAATTAAACTCGATTTATTTCATTTCGGTTGCTTTCTACATCTATTTGTCGACAAATTGGTAATTAGTCCTTGTTTGTTGTTATGTTTTTTCTTGAGCTTCAAGCAATGCAAGAGTTTATCTTAGCACAAAAGCGATCAAAATCAAAAGAGGAAGAACTTATGGCTCGTATCGCTGGTGTAAACTATGGAAATAAACCAAGGGTTACTAAGGATGGCTTAGTCATCAAATATGAATATGATTCCGATGAAGACTGTGAAGGTGGAACATGGGAGCACAAATTAAGAAATGCGGAAATGGAAGCGACCCGAGGTAATATGTGCTATTCTTTATAATAGATCCTTTATTCATTGCCTTTTATATTTATGGGTGCTTGAGATTATATAGCGTAGCTTAAAAAGTAGTATTAAACACAATTAATGCCTAATAAATAAGGCATAATTTACTGAAAATCGATTATCTCTACAGGATTCAATGTATACGCTATCTAGGTCGCAATAACAACCAAATGGCGATTGTGTGTCATGAGCTTTGAGTAGTACTGATGAGATCTTATCGACGCCTACTGTCTTTCTTCATTCCTACGTTAATGATAACGTCACTTTTGGTCAGAAGCGGATAATACATGCAGACATCGTACTTAAACTGCTTATGAACTGTTCGTAATCAAACAGTAGTTAAAGGCCAGTTAATCTGTTCATCACCATGCTGCCTGCTCCTGAAGTGTACCTCTGACGCACTTTTTTCCGAACGTAGTCTCACTGACTAAATGAGCATAAACATCTATGCTGTTACATATTGTTACTTTCATCTTCATCTTTCCAACCCTTCAAATCTTAAAAGTTTTCAATCTTATAGATGTACATGAAAATTGTGATGTTACTGATAGTCCTACCGACCCGGGAGTATGGTTACAAGAAACTAGTTGCGAAAATGCTATCGGAAATATTCGATTTAATCCTACAGCGTTAATCTTGTACCTTAAACGAATCATGTTTCTGTAATTTCTCGGGATAGAACCTTTTTTCCCTCTCGCTTTTGTTTATTGGGTTATTCCTGAAAAGTGCCTTGCAGCTGTTCCATTTAGCACGATTTACAATGCAACTTCAATTCTGATGCTTTCGGTTTTGCTACTTTCTAACCAGATTTCCTCACACGGAAACTTGAACAGGTTGCCCCATTTTATAACCCCCGTCAATCTGATACCATAAGTGTCTAAAAATAGGAGATACTCAAAATTTTATCATAGTTTTCTTTTGAAAATGTTGAGATAAATAAAGATTTTGAAAATATGATTAGGATGTTAACCTTCTTGGCTGAATTCATCAGGGTTACGGGATGAATAAATTCAATGCCAAGCGGCTTTTCTATATCCGTAAAGCGAAAATAACTGGTTAATATAATAAGGTTACCAAGTTGTCATACTGATCAGCAGTTGTATGAATGCAGTTAACTCATTTTCTTTTTACTATCTTATTATTTATTCCCTCATTAACTTAACCGACGTTTTCTTCAAACTAAATGTATCCTATTGCTTGTAAAATCTTTGCATTGTGTAGTACCCTTTCAGAATTCATGTTATCTTGATACAATGTTGTTAATTCTATACGTTAATGTATTACTTCTTACGACTCTACTACTATTTTGCATATAATAAAGATGAATTTAATTCAATTTATAGAATGGGCTCAGAAGCTAACTGAAATGGGTCATGGAAAGCATCACATTGGTGACTTCCTGCCCCCTGATGAGTTAGAACGTTTCATGGAAACTTTCCGTGTAAGTTGCGTAAATTTTCTCCTTTTTTGTTGTTTAGAGCGAAAATATAATTATCATTAATTACTTCATACATTCCTCTAACTCTTGTATATATTTTTATTATTGTTGTCCCTAAAAAAAATGTTATTTAATCGTAGATGGGGAACTGTTTTGACAAGTAGATACATCCATTTTCAAGGATTTCGAATGAAACCACTTCATGTACTCACTCACTGGCTTTCATATCGTATCTAAACGGAATAACGTCACAGGAAGTTGTTTCTTACGAAATTTATTGATACCAATCGCCTAATATTTCTATGAGGAAAACACTGTTAGGTTCATAACATTGTCGCAAATTCGATTGCAACCTGATATCAATATTTAATTAGCAGTAATGATTATGAACACTTCGTCTGTAAAGGGTTGCAACTAACGAAATAATGCTGTTGTTTATTCAGTATGCGAATAAATATTAACACTTTATATTAATCGAATTACTGCTTTTTGCGCCATGTCCTCTGGGCAACCGTTCACTTTCCACTCTCTCCTTTATTCAGTCTGTGTATTTTAAGCAGAACTTTATAATGGACAGGTTCGCTTGCAAAATAGGCTCCACTGCCAGTATCCAGGATGTTACAATTTAATCGTAATGTAGCACTGTAGATTGGAAATATTACAAATCGGTGGAGGGATTAATTGAAAATTACTCTGAAAATTGTTCATTTCACACACTCTATGGAATAATGACCATTGACATCAGTCGCATTGCATAGAGGTTTATTTGGCAACATACTGGATACCGGCAGCAGTGGAATCTGCAGTTCTCAGTTCACCATGCAGTCAGGGAATAGCAATAGTTTTATGCACCGAACTGAAATGTTACTAATGCTGCACCTCAAATTCGTTACATTTTTGGCTTTAGAAGCAGATATACAGGTGCATACTGTATGAAATGGGACAGTAATCTCTTTTTTTTTAAAGGACAGACAGCATATCTCTGAAGTACCTATTGAGTGTCACCTACTTTTTTATGTAACCTCTCCATGACAGTCTTTTAACTTGATACTCTTCAGCCTAAAGATTTGAAGATATAATGAATGACAAGCATATTGTTTAAATAGTATTGAAACATGCTTCTCAGCTGGATTGTGGTGGAAACACTGTTCTGCATGATTTCTCTGATATGTCTACCCACAAGTGTATTGATTATAGCATGGATTTTACCAAAATATTATTATTATTTGTCCCTTGGGTTCCTAGTGGAACATAGGGCTTCAGTAGCACGTCTCTATTTCACTCTGTTGTCTGCAGTCTTTTGAACCTGGCACGACGACAGCCCACAAGCTTTCATTTCTTCCTCATACCATCTCCTCCATGTCACCCTCGGACGCCAAACTCGTCGCTTTCCATCTGGGTTCCACTCGACGGCTTGGTCTGGCGTCTGATGTCTCCGAATGGTCTTCTCAGTGTATGCCCAATCCACCTCCACTTTCTTCGTAGCCAATATATTTTGTCTACGAAATCATTAACAAAGAACTTATAGTTTGAATGCGTATATTTTATAAAATCGTCTTTATGAATGCCCATTGTAAACATGGATCAGTGAACGTCTTTACTTAGTTTGCATACCACTTTCTAAAGGGAAGATAAAAGTTGATCAATTTGCCTTCACCTCCCAATAAAGTAGACGTTTAATGGTGGCCGCTCATGTTACTGGAGTAGTGTAATATAATAAGTATGACACTAACCGCTTTGAGTTCCATCGATATCTTCCCTCGGATCTTCGCGCGTTTGTTTCAAAGTTTCTATATTGCAAACAGCGAAAAATGTTGCTGTTTACTCCTCTGGTTGACACTAATGGCTTTGAGACAATCCTTGATTTTCTTGATGGCTGGTGTGCACACTATTTAAAACAAGAAAATTGATTGACTGAGAAAAGCAGTTTCCTCTCAGTAGGTGCTTGACCATCGTCACATGCATTGCAGATCAGCCGTTTCATTAGTGAGGATTGAAACAGTTTTCATTTCCTGGATAGGACTATATTCTGTTATTATTTTAGAGTTTATTAGCATACTCAAAACCCTATGCGAAGGCGACTCAAATTGTAGGGATCCATTCACGTAAACTCTCGATATGATAGGATATACAACCCATTAAATTAAACTGGTCGAAGGCCTGCTTGACAATCGTAAGGGTTATTGAAGTTGTGGAGATAGTGTGTCGGTAATTAGTTGTAGTCATTCAATAATTCAAGAGGTCAAATAAGATTTCAGCGTTCCTGAAATCATTGCTTATCAATCATAACACCGATGAAGTTAATTCAGCAACTCATCTTCAAAGTAGATGAATGAGATGAAGTTTGGATGCCTCCGTGAAGAGTTGATTCAAACTAGTATTGTTTACGACTTAAGTGTCTTTTTATCATGTTCAGACAAAACTGAATATTAAATCATCCTCAATGGTGCCTAACAGAGATATAAAGTCCTGTTTTATGTTCACATTCTTCGGTTTGAAATCATTTGCTTCAGTTCGTTATTTTAACATTGAAGTTGTTGCAATGATTAAGTTGTGTTTATACAAACCCCTTCTGAATCACAGTAGTTAATTCACACATTTATCCTCTTATTTAGATTACTGTTATCTTTTCGAATTCCACTTTCTAACCAAAATGTTTATAAAATGCGATACGCTTGAGGATGGTTGTTTCATTTTCTCTTTATTGTACAAATTTCAGTGATTTGTTTGTTCGTTTGTATGGTCATTACTTTCGGTGTTGGAAAAGGAGTAATTAGTCTTTTCAGTTTGGAGGTTTGTGGAGACTTATTTAATAATTCCAGGTTGGTATTCATCACAAACTGGCATCAGTTGGAGGAACATTGGAAACTTAGGAGCACTGTTTCGTCCTAGTATAGGACTCCTCAGCAGTGCGCATCCATGAACTCACCCACCTTGGATCGGATCCAGGGCCTTCAGACTCTGCTGCCAGCACGTTATCATCCCTAGTGGGTTCATGGGCGCGCCCTGCTGAGGAGTCTCACACAAGGACGAAGCAGGTGTCCAGTGCTCCCAAGTTCCCGATTTTCCTCAGCCTGGTGTAGGTCTGTGATGAATACCACCCTGAAATCTATTAATCCACATAAACCTCAAAATTGAATTAATCTAGTGCTTATCGGTGACTAGCTTCGAGATGTTATTCCTGATGTCCCAATGTGAAGTTGTGACTAAGTGGGGTCAACCAAGTAGAACATGACGACAGTAACTCAACGACGATATTTGATGCAGGTCGCACTATGTCGTGAGTTGACAGAAGTAGAAAATGCGCACCATTGGATTCCAACCCAGTGGCTCAATGGAGACATACTGACCGTGAGACGTAGAGGTTCTGGGTTCGATCTGTGGTGGGATGGGGTCATGGGTGCCCATTGTGGAGGAATCCCATTCTGGGATGAAAGATCCGTCTAATGCTCTTAAGTTCTAAATGTTTCTCGAACTGATATCAGTCCATGAGGAATACCAACCTGTAATTAGTCTTTTCTTGTTTTCAATCCTTTCGTAACTAGGCTTTAAAAGAAGGTCGTGAACCAGATTATTCTGAGTACAAACAATTCAAGTTAACTTGTGAAAATGTCGGTTTTCAAATGTTGGAGAAAATGGGTTGGAAAGAAGGTGAAGGACTTGGTGTTGATGGTCAGGGTATCCTTAATCCAGTTGACAAGTGAGCCTTTTCCTTTATTTTATTTTTTTACAGTTATTTTTACATATCCCCACTTTGTTTAAATTTTAACGGAATCGAGTGGAATTTATGGCTCGTTGGTCTAGACAATTGAATTTCAACCAATGCGTGACAGGTTGAAACCTCGTCCCACTTATCAATATTCGGATAGTTAAGCAGTATTTGTTAGCTTTCGGACAACGAGTGGGGCTTATTGTTTAGTTCACAAGCCTTCATAAGGTTTCTGAGTTACATTCTTGAGCAAATATGTATACTTGTTTATTTTATTTTTACTTTAAAGGGGGAATGTTCTTGTTGAAGGTGTTGGCTTGGGAATTGATCGTCCGTCTAAACTAGTAAAAGAAGATGACGAATACGATGCGTACAGAAAACGTATGATGTTAGCATATCGATTTCGCCCAAACCCTTTAGTAAGTAACGAAATAAACAGGGTATTTTATTATTGATACTTTCATATCTGAGATAGTAGAGAGAATTTGTAGCTCAGACTGAGGATGATAGTTATTTGGTTTTCTCAAGGGTTTGAAGTTTTTCCTTCGATGTTTCGTCACCAGGCTAAGCGGCTCCATCAGCATTTACTTCATAAAGAAGTAAATGAGGTGAATGGCTAGCAATGAAACATCTAAGGAGAAATCTCAAACCTGAGAGGACACCAAACAATTATCACTTTCAAATCTATTTTGTACCTGATAGCAGTTAATTGTACTTGATTTATAATCTAAGATATATTCTTGCTTGATAGATATAACGTGATTACTGAAACTTGAGTAGAAACAGTATCACCGTTCGATTCAAACTATCGACTCGGGTATGGCGGACTGGAGCTGTACTAGTTTGGCTATGATACCCATCTGTAAACCAGGCCTCAATTACACCGTAAAGTATATATATATAGTCAGTAGAACGTGGGCATCAAGTAATGGACTGCCCAACGCAGTATGACAACGTTATGAAACCAGAAACAAACAGAAGGTACAAGAGGAAAAGAATGATGATGAGATTGTTAGATCTATCAAAAAGCTTTCACTACATTTGTGTTGCATTTTGATAACACAGGAAACAAGAAAGAGACATTGCGATCCCGACCGATTTCGATTAAGAATCAAACGTGATGGCCTCTTGAGTCACACAGCGTTGCATAACCTTTTGGATGTCGTTTAGGAAGTCATGATCTACTAGAAGATGCTAATTAAAAACACAGCTATCCTCTATTTCATAGTACCATGTTCTACATTGACCACTGGTCAGCTTCTTGCAACCAGATTCGAGGGGCAAGCAAGCAGTAAACCATTTAGATGACATTCCCTAGCCAACAAAGATGATATGCTGTGTTATCTTTCATGTAAGCGGCCTACATGCGCCATCCTCGTTGTATCTCGAATTGATTGGCAGGCGTCAAGAAGAATGTAAAGAACTCTCAGAGACCCAGTATTTACTAGCGCGGTGTCGTTCAAGGCCGCAAGGAGTTGCACTCTTCACTTTCATGGTATCTTGTTGGTTCAACAGCAAGTTTTGAGTCTGGCTCGACTTTGTATTTGTTTGCAATACTAGTTGCAGTCAATTTGTTTATTTTTTCCTGTTTACCACAACTATCTTCATGATTAACAAAATTCAAAGTGCTTCTACCCTGTTCAGAAACATGATAAGAGTTCAAAGAAGTGCTCCAGAAAGAAAGAAATTTGAAACACTCTTGATATCAGTAGTTATACGCAATGTAGCTTATTCAATTTTAGGCTTCAGTGGAGGATGGCATGTAGTACAACGGTGATCGTTGTGGGGGAAGTAGGTGCTGCTTAAAGTCAGACAGCAGTCCATTGAAAACTGTACAAGACGATCACCAATATATAAACGTCCGATTGACTCAACCTTATTGGCCAACTAAACGAGTTTCTATGTTTAATTCCCTGGTATCTGCGATCAAATTCCCGGCTAACACTACAACATTTATTGAGCTCATTTGATGGAGAAGGTCACTCAGCTGATGATTGAACTCATCCTTAACTACAATCTGTCACAAATGATGAATAGGCATTGTTTCACTTGGCACTTATTTCTTATTCTGACTGAAACTTCTAGTCTATCAGCTCACAGACGACTGTTGATAGGAATTCAGTTTATGAGTACAACTTCTGCTCTAGCACTTCATAAGATATCTATAGCAACAAACTTGGATGCACATGTCGCAGGACTTTTGGAATAACTACTGTTAAGATCGAATTTCGGAAAGTAATCCATTAGTTTGAAAATACCATACTTCTTAGTAGCAGCGAAAAATCTGTAAAGTGAACCAAAATAAAACTACTCAAGTCAGAGTAACATGACAAAGCATTCTCACTGTCGTTGTCAAATTTTGGTGGACTTAGAACATCTGAATCAGAAACTCATTACTTCTAACACGATTCATATCAATGATTTCATGGATGATGATGCATAGTACAACTGGCGACAGAGTTAATAAAGCTGATCTACACAGCATATGTGAATCCGTCTGCCTAACTCCCAAGACACCTACTCAGTTCTTCAAGGACAGAAAGTTATACAGTAAATGTAATCTTGTATTCAGCAAATTATTATGATGACATATGTGAAGTCTATCCCGTTTACACATATGCTAATCTGTAACAATAGTAAATAAATCAGTTTTTATATTTTTATTATGTTCTATGAATTGCAACATTTACCTACTCACTGACATTATTCATGTGGTCACAGATATATCCCCAAAGTAGACCTTAGGTTGAGGTAGTACTATACGATTACATTTTAATATCTCAAATATTGACTTCAAGGTCTTCATGTACAATATGTCCCATCTTGATTAAGGCCTAGACAACCATACAATAAGCATGTTTCAGTGACACTTATATATGACGATATGAGTTTTAACTCAGTGAGCTTTTGTTCATTGGTCTATGCAGATAATTTTCAACCAGTAATTGACAGATTCGAACATCGCTCCACTTACCGAGTTATGGGCAGCCAGGAGTATCATTAGCCGTCATGCAATAAGTGTGTTTCATTGCCTAGTACATGAGGTTGCTGAAAGCATCTCTTTGTAATTTGGTCGCATTTATTTTCATTGCATTTATCAAAGTTACAAGTTGTTTATGAGTTTCATATATCTGGTTCCACTTAGCAATCTACACAGAATAGTAGGAATAAGTATATGCATTTAACAATACTATTAATTAGTTTTTAATGTTTTGTAATTCATAACTACTAACTTGGTCTAATTTTTTATCATTGATTTTAGAACAATCCTCGACGGGACTATTACTAGTTAATGTCAACTACATTTCTTGTACTTATTCCCTACCTTGTTAAAAGACTAAAGCAAAACTTTGTCAATCTGTGATTAAATATTATTATATGTGAATATGTGAAGACATTTTATCACTAATGCATACATACTTGTAAAATTTATCAAACCGTATGTTTAACACACTAGGTTTCCATACACAATATATGTGTAAAGTTAACATTTTTTTAAAAAAAATATACACCTTTTTATCAACTTTCTACTCGTTTTCACTGCTTGAAATCATGCAAAGTAGTAGGATTTTGTATTGATTGTAATTTTCGCTTTGATTTCTTGTGCAGTTTGTTGCATATCTTATGATTCGACTGCCTAGACAGTCTTGTTAATATAAACTATTCAATTTAAAGGTTTGTGTGTACTTATTTATTGATTTCAGCTTGGTATTCCTCATGGACTAATATTAGTTAGAGAAACATTGAAAACTTAGGAGCACTAGACGGAGGTTTCTTTCCAGCATGGGATTACTCAGCAGTGCGCACGCATGACCTCACCCCACCGTGGATCGAAGCCAAGACCTCCAGGTTTCGTGGTCAGCACGTCACCGTGGTGCATATTTTCTACTTCTGTCAACTCACGACATAGTGCTATCTCCATCAAATGTCGTCGTTGAGTTACTGTCGTCATGTTCTACTTGGTTGACCCCACTTGGTCATGACTTCTCATCGGGACATCAGGAATAACCTCTCGAAGCTAGTCACCGATAAGCACTAGATTAATTCAATTTCGAGGTTTGTGGGGATTTATGTTTTGATTTCAGGTTGATATTGGTTAGACCGTTACCCAGTAGTAGTTCACTGCCAGTTCGCATGTTGATATTGACTTACTTAACTTATTCAAAGTTGATGATTGTAATTCGTAGATAAAATGGTGATCATAGTTTGATTGGAGCGAGTAGACTTCGAGTTAACACAACGCTCCTCTACTTTTTAACCTGTGGGGTGAACTTTTAATCACTTCTCATACATTCAGTTCACTTAACGTGTGTAGGTTATTTATAAATTCTATAGTATTTTGAGAGTATTTTAATGCGACTTTTATATGTAAATGTGTCAAGCAAACACTGTTGCATATTTATACACTGGGAGTTTTATTGAGTTGAGATATATATATATATCTGTACTGCGAATTCTTTGTTTACATAGCGTTTGTTGGTATATGATTTCATTCAATCTGGAAGTTTGTGAAGATTTATTAATTGATTTCAGGTTGGAATTCATCAGGGACTGACATCAGTTTGAGGAACACTGGAAACCTAGGAGCACTCAGTGGTGACTAACTTGGAGTTCCAATAACAAGTGTGAGTAATGCATAAGTCAGACGTAGAGTTTTGGGAAGGAGAGGTAAGTCAGTTGACACGGTTGTAAACCTTCATCGACTGAGATGGCTGGTTGGAATATGTGTTGCGTTTGTCTAGTCGCCGTCTGGGTCGTTACACAATGTTGGCCGAAGTAGGTTCAGACTGGAAAAAGGCTCGAGGCAACCAGACTGAAACATGGTATCACTGCATGAACTATTTGACTGTTGGTTTGAGCTATGTGGGATGATGGAGAGTAACCGGTTGGGATCCACAAGAGAAGAGGAACCAGTGGATTCTGGAGACTCTAGGTGATATGACTGATAACCTGTCAGTGGTGCAGATGTATACATTACATTGTCTTCACTATTTTAATGCTATATCGAATCTCAGCATTTTCTCATTCTCTCTTTGTCTCTTTTATTACTCTATATTTCTTTTGATTGAATTTCCTTTTCTTCATCTTCCACTTCACTGCTTTTTTACTTGATGTACTGATATGAGGTGTGGCAACTCGGACCGTTACGCAGTAATGCTGATGAATGAGAAGTCGTGACCAAGCGACCAAGTCGAACATGACGACAGTTACTCAACGAAGACCTTGGATGAAGGTCGCACTATACCGTGAGTTGACAGAAGTAGGAAATATGCACCACTGGATTTCGCTCCAGTGGGTCAATAGTAACTTGGTGACCACGGAACCTGGAGGTCCTGGGTTCGACCCATGGTGGGGTAGGGTCGTAGGTGTGCACTTCTGAGGAATTCCATACTAGGATGAAACATCCATCTAGTGCTCTTAGGTTTTCTATGTTTCTCCAACTGATATCAGTCCATGGTGAATGCCAACCGGATATATGTCTGTTGTTTGCTTTTCGGAAATTATCTGTACACCCTATTGAATGTTTGTTGCGTCGGTTGTTGTATAGCATTACAAACGTGGTTACAATACAGAAGATTTTTGCAAAAGGCATATGAATAAAGAAAATGTTTTCGTTGTTCCTTTTTGAAATGGTGGAATTTGGGTTGTTTGTTTACCAAGGCTGAAATCGCATCATAGTTTTCAATGTAGAGGACTATGTTCATTCACATCCGCCATAGTTTATGCCTATTTGTTGTTCTTATAATGCTTTAGGTCGTAGTTGTGGGGCTATAGCTTATTGGCTTAGGCAGTTAACTGTCAACCAATGAGTCATGTGTTCAAACACCACTTCTCTAACCGAGGTGTAGACAGTCAGACAGTGTCACTAGTGGTCATACAATAGTTGTGGCTCACTGTCTGTTTCACGAAAGTCCACGTGACTGTTGAAAGTGCATATCAGTTACGACTATCATGTAAAGCCTTCAGTTGGTATCCGCTTCATTTCCGGCTGATTAACCCCACAGGTCATTTCTTCTCACTAGAGCTTTATGATATCCGTGTGGAAGGATGTAACTAAAGAGCACTATACATCCAATGGCTGAATAGTTGACACGTTCACCGCGAAACCTGAAGATCCTAGGTTCGATCTCTAGCCGGTCGTGGGTGTGTACTGCTGACGAGCCCAACAGTAGGATGAAACAACTGTCCAGTGCTACTAGGTCTTTAATGGTTCTCCATCTGATGTCTATCTGTCATGAATTTTACCTTTTCTCTGATTTCCAGATATCCATTAAAGTAACTGTCAATTATGAAGCAAACCGGGATGGAATTTTGTTCATATTTTATTGAAAAGTTCCTAATAAGTAACTTTCGAACATATTGAGTAATCTAAGTTTGTACAACAGTGGTGTCAATGAAATCAATAGTGATATTATGGTGATGTTAGTTGTAAAAAATCTTCAGAAATTGATGCGATTTCATGTGAAATGTACTAGGAATTATGCTAAAGTTCCCTTGTAATAGATTCCATTGAAAAAATGGATGGAATTTTTTCATCAGTGCATCCTGTTCACGTTGAATGAAATACTTCGTTGATATTTTTCCATTGGGATGCAAACATATGAATGGATTGGAAGAGATAAAGTATGTAATTCCCAAACTACTGCGAGTCAGCTGACAAAACGTATCTTGAAATGGTGATTATTAAAATTAAGTTAAAGGAGGCTGAAGACTAGAGTATTTAACTTCTTCTGTTCACCATTTAAATAGTTGTGAACTTCCTCTTAACCTACGCGTAAAACTTGATTGAGGAGGATATATATTGTAGGCTACTGTTTGATGAACATGAAGCATTTCCAACCTACTTTTCTTCTTCAACATCAAATCTCTAACATAACCTACAATTTTTTCTCCCTTTGGATTTGTGTTATTTTTTTCCATTAGCATGGTAAGAGATGTAGATGGAGCTGAAATTCTTCACCACTAGTTGATTTGGTGTCTGTTTTGTATTTCACATTCAGGTATGATTAGAATTGAAAGGATACTTAGATTGGTGATAAAATTGAAAGAAATGGTGTATACGTTGCACTACGAGACCTAACTACCGACCTGGTCTCACTTCTGATTAGATTACTGAGTTTCCTATGAAGCTGTCATGTGAATGAGTGTTGCAGACTTATGCGTTCCTCTGACTATTTAGACTAGGCAATTCACTTCCAACCAATGGGTTCAAATTCACTTTACTGAGGTTTATGCAACCAGATAGCATCACAGTTCTCACACAATTAATGTGACTCATTGGTAATTGCGTATCAATCATTCAAATACCAACTTGGTTGGGAATTTGCGGAGTGACTCTGAAGACCACCTTATCGATGATTTAAATAACCAACTAGATTTCTTTATTTTTCAACTGGAAAGGTGGTTTTTTTCCCGTAAGATAGAACTTTAATTGGTTACTTCAGTAGTTATTTGGATTTGCGACCTAGCTAGCGATCACTTGTCGTGGCTAAGTCGGTGGTGCGCTACACCAGTGATGCGTCACAGTTAAGGAGTACTGTCGATTATAATCGTTATATTCGTACATAAAAATCATTAAGTATTTTGGTTCACTCACAGTAGAGGATACTCATTATGCTTTTCATGGGTCAGATGCAGACGGTATTGTTCTGTCCAAATTGAAGTAAGATTGCTGTGTTTTAATGTGCAGATTGATAATGTAGAGTTTCACGTCCGCAGTTCATAGATTTTCACTGCATCAATTACACTCCACTTTAGTCATTTTTTTATTATATATACTTTGACAAGCTCTCAATTTTGCATGATTTGTCACATCTGTATTTATTGGTATTAATTTTAGTGATGAATAGTAATGCTGCAATAGTGTGACCTATAATGTCACAACAAACAGCTACACATATAACTGGACAATGTGATGTTGCTGCTAGTGAAAATAGTCCTTTTAGTTCTCCCATATCATATCAGCCAGTATGCCAAAGGTGCTTCAATCCATTACAGTTGGATCAAGATTTCGAGCACTTACAAAAAACGGAACTTATGACTTTACTAGGTGAGCTGTTGTGTTTTATTTTACGTTCTCTGTTAGTCTTATTTGCTTCAATTCTCGATGTACTTAATTAGGGTTATATCAAAGGTCATTTTTCGACTATCGCAAAAGGTAGCTATTTGGGTATTTTCGATGTATTGATTGGTCACTGGAGGGTAACCAACTTCATGTTGTCTAGTCCTATGTGCTGACCGAATTCTATCGATCATTTTGCAATGTGGTCACCAGATTAGGCAGCAAATGGGACTAAACAACATGATGTTCGTTACCCTCCAGCGACAAATCAATGTATCTAATCTAGTCCTACAGGAGACTACTCGCGACCCGAGTGGCTCAGTGATAACGTCGCTGACTACAACAGTGGGTAATGGGAGATCGAATCCTAGGTGGGACATCAGTCCTATCGGGTTGCGGATACGCCTTTCTGATGGGTGGCAACAACCACGAAACCTAGGTCCATGGCTTCCTGCCGATTACCTCCATCCAACTAATATCCGTTCCCGGTGTGTTGCAGATATCATGGTTCATATATAGTGATCTGTCTTCACCCATAATTACTAGTCATTTGTATATTAACAATTGCTGCGCACATGTAGTAGTGATTGGCTGTGACTGATTTGTTCGTGTAATGACGTAACATGTGATGACTTTGAACACTTACGACAGATTTAGTTAGAATTTTCTATTCAAAGTTCATTCAAGCACAGGTATATGATTTGACGAAAATACTAAATGGTATTTTATTTTTTGTCTTTTATACAACCGTAATTGCTACCCTGTCATAGCACTGCAGGCTTCTGTACCTTAATGACTAAGCCATACTAATTAGAATACCTTTGACTTGAAATCTTACATTCTCAGATAGGGTTGGCTAGATAGTGATGCGATCAAATTGAGCTTATTCTGATCCAAAAGTGATGTTTTATTTTTAACTGTACCATATAGTGACAGGAGTAAGTTGTTTTGCAAAAACAATCGGAATATTCATGAATTCTATCTCTTTGCTTCCATCAGGAGGTTTCAAAAAAAGTGGATTCCATCCCTCAGCGTTTCAGTGCTGGTAATAGGATTTCTAAAGTACAAACCAACTCACCAACCCGAAATCAAATTTTTACAGTAAGGTTGAATGTGAAAATTAAATCAAGCAAACTAATCGTAAACAGAGTTACACTCTACTAACTTGCCCAAGTTCTATACTCATATTGTCTGAATATTCGCAAGATATCTATGAATTCCTGTTTTTAATCGCTTTTGTCGATACTATTATGAATCTTATTTTAATTTCTTCTGATACTTCGAGAAGAATGGGCTGCTCCAGTGCATTCATTTGAGAAGTGTTATTGGTCACACACACCCCTAGCAGTACTCAAGTCCTGTATTCTCATCATTTTCTCTCTTTGTCGTTGAGTTCTCAATTTTCTGCAACTATACCTAACTCTAGTTTCTCCACTTTGTCAACAACTTTCCATACCTTCTCAACCTCTTCCAATGGTTCAGTTATATGGAATAAGAATATTTGATCTCCCGACAACTGACTACTAACTGCATTTTAGTATAGTCAAAGCCTGAATCTTAAATCACATCATATTTTAGACATTACCAGTCAACAGCCTGGAATCCTGCATTGTTGAAGTATGCATACGACTTATGTGTGTGGTTGTTGACTTGATCTTATCCATTGGAGCAAGTCTGTACAACTCAGGATTCAAAGTTTAGGTCTTGTGGACTTGTAAGTGTAGTTGCAAGATGAAAAGCAAACTTTTCAGCTGGACGTCAGTGAGTTGTCATGTATACTATTGTTCGATAAAGTTATACACTAGTGCTGATGCTTCGTTTCTGCTTATTTATTTTATTCTCTCTTCTTTCTAATGGTTTGATTTTATAGTTTACAAAATTTTGAAGGATTTTTCAAAAGAGTCTGAATGTCAAGACTTTATAAGATTACTTGTTTCGCAGCTGAAAATGCATTTCTGTTCTACATTTACTAGTGAAGATGGTTAGTTTTCACCGTTTACTTTCTAAAGAACACCTGCAAGACCTCTAGCTGACGTATACATTTTTGACCATACAGCAGCTGGAAGCAGTTGATTTGAAGTGGTTAAGATCATTACTGTAGATGTGAACCGGATATTGTGTGTTCGAATAATTAGATTCTCGATTTGGACTTTTGTGCTAACCCCATTAACTTTTCATATACCGGGCCAGTGGTTAAGAGTTAAGCATTTACGGTAAAGTTATCTTAACCAACCATTCAGTGAAAACTGGGATGATAGATAGTAACAGGTAGTTATTCAAGCTAATTCAGAGGATTATTATGAGAGGTTCGATCATACAGAAGACAAAGTAATTTGTTCAAGGGAAAAGCAATTAGAGAATTAAGCATTCAAATAGCCCTCCAGCTGCCTTTCGGTTGTTTACCACCCAATCTCAGAATAAATGAAGCAATTATATCTAAGCTCGAACCGAAATAAAAAACCGTTAGATTTTGACTGGTTGCTATCGGAAGTATCCAGAGAAGTTGGTCTAGGATTAGTAAGTAGATATTTCGAGGCACTACATTTCATGGTGGAAGTTATGGATATTTCTCTCTCGATAGTCTGTCGTTGACGGTGACAGTCTACAAAAGAGAACAAGAATCTTTGTATCATAACCACGGAGAAATGAACTTAACCAGCAGAATATGTAAAGTCCTATGATCATTCATGAACCACATGGATCTTGGAGAAATCAATCAGGTATTTTCTTATTTGCATCTCTCAAGCACTATTCATATGTAGTGGACATTTAACTCCACTAATCGAGATATCTTCTATAAGTGTCTGAATGTAAAGGTAACACTGATCAGAAAAGCAGTGCTAATCAACGTTCTCCACTCGAATTCATGCAGCCGTGTAAAAGCCTATATTGAGCTGTCATCTGATATGACGACAACCAATAGTCCAACAGTGATGTGTTTTGACCATTCTTATTCACCTTTGTTATAAATCTGCTGATCGATATGACGTTACTCATCGTCCACTTCCTAGATTTGCTGAAGTCTTAACTTTTTAGTCTGAGCTATGCATTGAGATATAGGCTACCTTACTGAAATCTTTAGATCTTTGGGAATCGATCATTGGAGGCTTGTTGTGTTGTAACTTTTCAGAATTTTGAACATTTTTACTAATTCTCCTTTGTTTATTCTTTCTATCCTCATGCACACTTATCTTCTTCAATATCATTCGTTTTCTAAGTGTAGAAACTTGAACTTCTCGTTCTCAATTATTGATTGTCGTGCAGGTTATACGCCTCACGCTTCCCCCCCCCCCCGCCCCCCCGCCTTAATTACCTAGTAAATCATTATCGAAGTGCAGATTGTTACTCATGTTCGCTAGTTTTTGAAATTAATTATTTTTGATGATCATGAAATTACATCCAATGAAAAGTTCAAAGTTGTCAGGACAAAGTAAGTTTTTGCACCATACTCTAGTTTTCAACAGTTGATGTCAATTCTTGGCAAAAAAAACCATCCATTTGATATTCTTCAGCTTCTTGAGTAATTTAAATATTCCTTATGGGATAATTAGAAGACAGAATTTGAAGTGAACACGTATTTTCGGTAAATTCTCATCAGGCTCTACATTTACATTTACAAATTATTCAGTATAGTCTTCATTTGATATCAACATGGTTAAATTAATTCGGATATATGAATTAGAAGGTGATGATAACAAAACAAAATCTCGGGAAGCTTATGAACATTCCCAGTAGTTAATCCTTATAGGTGTGTGTGTATGTGTGTGCAGGGATAGAGATTCGATAACAAAATGTTAAAATTCTTGATCAGTTATGAAACTAAGGACGAAAAATAAAATGATAATGATAAGAGTACAAACAGAGATCATATTTACATTTATCGGGGTTATCAGGAAAGAACTTATTGTAATTGTTTTTGAGCTGAAGACCATAGGAGGGAAAGGGAATGAACAAACATCTTCTGAATACATAAATTAGGTTTGAAAATTTTAATAGTTATGGGTTCTACTATGCTTAGGAATCGGAGGCGCACAAACTTGGAGTATTGTGATGTGACTTTGTAAATAATAGTAAATGCTGAAGTTTTGTCAATCTTATACTCAGTATTCACTAGATGGGTGAGTAATGAACTTTTGATAGATTTTACTTTTCCTTTGCTGGACAGTGTTCAGTGAAGCGATGATGGTCTTGCCGAGTCGTTCTACCTATGTAACTATCTCTACAAGAGCAGTTAAATTTATAAATGCATATAGATGTGACCAGATTCGGTAGCTTATCCTGCAACAACTGCATTGGTATCATACAGCGAGTAGTAAATTTCAAATATAGTGTGGTGGCAAATAAAGTTTCTTGTTTCAGATTTCTGATTTTCAGTATCAGTTTTTTCTGTATCTGCATCTCCTTTGAACGCTAAGGTTAGATACAATCGTTTCTTCGGCACCAATTGAAGGCGTTTTTCTCCAACTGTTTACGGATTTTTCAGGATATCCGTTCTCATATAAGGAGTTCTTCATTATTTCTTCCCGGTCAGTCGGTTAAATGTTAATATTATCTCTGTTTGGACTCTTATCATTATCATTTTATTATTCGACCTTAGTTTCATAATTGATTAGGAATTTTAACATTTTATTATCGAATCGGTATGCGACAATGATTTAATCCCCTTTGTGCCTGTACACGTACAATTCAATCTTGAGGTTGAGGCATAATAGCAGTTCCTCCTAAATTGACCACAATGTATCTTTGTCTAAATTATTGAAGTTTGATGCTTTGATACTTTATGTTATGCTTCAGTTAATGTCTATTAAAAAATTTACTACGCATATGCTACCAATCTATGTTTATTTATCGACCCAAAACCAATTTATGAATCAGTATAGTATCTTAAAATAACTCATATGTACATAGATATGTCTGTAGAGAGGCAGAGAGGGAGGGAGAGGGGAGAGTAGTTAAAAAGTAAAAGTGTATATTAGTTCTCTGGAGCA